AACTCATATTAATGTTAAAAAACCTCATAAAGTGAAATTTTCATGCCATGGGACCTTTAATAAATTGAGAGAAGCAGTTACCATGGTCACAATATGATTCATCTGTAGCCCTATTTCTATTAGCAGCAATTCTGTTGTTTGTGTCTGGACTGTAGCAATGTGAGACATTTTCATTTGAAATAAAATCCAAATTGCAATATATAACAAAATAATCACAATATAATTTTATGCCCAAGACATGCAGCCCTATATATGTCAACAATTACAAAATTAACAATCAAAATAAAACGCTTACTAAAAAAAGGTTAGATGTAAAATGTGACCAACATCAGAGAGTCATGGCCATGTGAATGTGTGAAAAAAGACTTACTTACAAACAGAATGTTTCAAAGGCATGTGTTTATGTACTGCGGATGATTGCAGTCAAAAGGAGCCCAAAAACAACGTAACATGTTGCAAAGGTGTTGAAATTATCTCTTTGACTACATGGTCTCTCCTGTTCCTACTGTGAAAACATTTAATCGTGAAATGGAAAAATTCATCAGTTTTTGTTTATTTGAGTAATAGTAAAAGCTGCCATGTCTGTTGGTCTCCATTGTGTCTTGTTTTTACACGGTTACAGCTGCCAACGTGTTGTTGTCTGAGTCTGGTGAGGTGAAGCTGGCAGACTTCGGTGTGGCGGGACAGCTGACAGACACGCAGATCAAAAGAGAGACGTTTGTAGGTACACCGTTCTGGATGGCTCCGGAGGTCATCCAGCAGTCTGCCTATGACTCGAAGGTACGTCCCTCTTGAAAGTCCTCTACTTGGGTGTTTTTGCGCTCGTGCTCAATGTCTTCTGAGCTTTTAGCGCTACTGCATCGACCTTTTGGGTAACAGCAGTTACTCTGGCCATGTGATGTAATGCTCATATCTTATTGGACGGCCCATGTTTTCGCTTTGCGAAACTGAAAAGAATTGTCGGACTGGTTCGAAAAAAACACATTCGCATTTTCGGTGCGTGAATGTTCATGGTCTGTGTGGAAGCATCCATAGGAATCTGTTGTTTTATTCCAGCGCATCCGATATTCGTTTAGCTTTTTCGCGCTCAAGAGTGGAAAGGCCTTTAAACACTTAATAAACTAGCAGTCTTGTGTACAATCTCAACACTATGAAAGTAAACTTTTCCAGAATTACATTGCTGTTTTCTATGTAGAGCAGGCTCATGATGAGTTTTTTTGCTCCGTTTTATTTTGTGAAACCTTACTATGGTTTCACAACTCCGCTTCACGTCGTGTCTAACAACGCCCCTTAACTGTTATAAATTCACTGTAAACCACGGCTTCTTGGGGCTTATTGCTTTTATAAAATGGTTATTCCATATACGTTGTAAGGTTTCACAAAATAAAACAGAGCAAATAAAGTGTAATGATATTAATAAAAACAGTATTCTTCCACCAAACAAAAAAACTGCTTATCACCAGGCTGAGTGACTCAGAATGTTTTGTCATATTGTGACACATTGCATGCAGTCTTATTGTTTGTAGTGCATCTTAATGTACAAGAAAACACTCCAGCACTTATGTCTTTGGATTATTTTATATGCAGCGTTTTCATCCTGTGCTCGCAGGATTACTGGACATATTTGTGCTCAAATTGATTCATTAATAAGATTATTTTTTTACATAATTATCGATTAATTAACATCCTTAGCTAAATTTGTTCTTGTTGCTCCACGCTATCTGACTATTGGGACTGACGTTACATCAACTATAGTCTCAAAAATATTGGTCCATTTGTTATTGTACAGGACTGTAATACTTCCAGCCTTTAGAGAAACTTGTTTTATTCTGTTGAAACTTTTAAAAAGGTTTTTAACCAAGTAAATCCAAATTTAGTCTTAAGGTTGACTAAAAAAAAAGTTTTTTTTGTTTTCTTTTTGAATGACTAAAGCTGTCTCTCATCATGAACAAATGCCACAGCGGCTGCCATTGCACTAAAAAGAAAAGGAAAAAACACAAACCGGCATATTCACCTGAATTACAATCTCACATGAGTCCGTGAAGTCGTGAATGCTTATATTTGCCAATAATTTACCCTTCAGTGGAATGATATCGTGCTTTGTGGGGTTGAGCAAATGTTTTGTAGATATTCATTGAAATCATAATTGTATTGGGTTTCATGATGTATTATCACCACAAATCATTAAATGTTTTATTATTTATATGCTTATACAGTAAGGAGTTTGTCATTAGGAATTCATAATATTTGTTGTCACAAAAAAATTAACACTGACAGTTAAAACGCCATCAGAGAAAAAAATAAAGGGATAGTTGACTCAAAATTGAAAATTGTCATCGTTTCCGTACCCTCAAGTTGTTCTAAACCCGTATGATTTTCTTTATTCTCTTCAACATAAAAGATATTTTGAGGAATGTTGGTAACCAAACAATTTCTGGTCCCCATTGACTTCCATGGCATTGTTTTTTTCCATACTATGGAAGTCAATGGCTACCGTCAACTGTTTGTTGACTAACATTCTTCAAAATATATTTTATGTTCAACAGAGGAAAGAAACTTACACAGGTTTGGAACAACCTGTATCACAGGATTTACATTTTGGGGTGAATTATCCCTTTAAAGGCACAATATGTAATTTTCGCCGCTAGAGGGTGCGTATTCAAACTAAACAAAGAAGCAAAGGCGTAGTTTGATGCAGTGACTGAGTGTGGGATCATGGGACTTGTGGTCTTCATCCCCACAGCTGATGCAATTCGACGGGACTCGGGCAGAAATCATGTTCATGGAAGAGCTAATGATTTATTAACGTAGTAGAATGAAGCAGGCTGAGGCTGAAAGCCGTCGAAGCGAAACGAGGCGCTGAACGAGCGCGACACGGCTCGAAAGCAGCGGAGCTTTTATTATGCCACAGTCGACCGCTTCTGCTGCTTCCGGTCGTGAGTATGTGGGGTAAAGCAGCGCTGTTTTATCATACTAGATACATTTGAAAGTTCTGTTATAATGCTACTCTATGCGGTCGTCACCGGTCTCTTAAAACGCACAACATATTAAAGCATCTTTGGTGTTTCCATGCTTTCTACAAAACAAAACCGGAAATCGAGGGGTTATGACGTCATTAGCAGGCGACACAATGACACTATAGACACGGTCCGTGTCACTAGTTAAAATTGCATATTTCTCTGGATTTAAACGTTCTTCGAAACATTTGGGATAGTGTAAGTACACAAGTCACCAAAATATATAAAACTGTTCTAGTGGTTTTTGGATATTTTAATAAAAAAATCTTACATATTGTGCCTTTAAATAAAAAAATTGGTCCGTGTTTTTGGCCCTTAAAAACGATTTCGGCTGAAACTGAAAATTGCTGTTTTGGTGGAAAATTTTGGTTGCTGAACTTTTGGTGCATCACAAAATTAAGCAAAGGACTTGCTCTTTTTTTGTGTGTTTTTGGTTTATTCTCAAAATAATTCTGTCATGGCAAGCTCGATATGTGTTCAGCTTTGTGAAGTTGTTTGTTTTGCTCTCAGGCTGATATTTGGTCTCTTGGGATCACTGCCATTGAGCTGGCCAAGGGCGAGCCCCCGAACTCAGACATGCACCCCATGAGAGTGCTCTTCCACATCCCCAAGAACACACCACCCACCCTCAACGGAGACTTCTCCAAGACTTTCAGAGAGTTTGTGGACTCCTGTCTCAACAAAGACCCTACATTTGTAAGCACAGTTCAAGCATTGCTTTCTCATGTAGGAATGCTGCACTTACACTAGGGTTGTCACTAAAGTTTCAATATATAGGGACAAAAATGCCCCTGTATGAACTTACAGTTATGCAGCATCACACAACCAAGAGTACTGTTTTTCCAGAATATTGTCAATATTGTGTTTTTGCTCTGTCGCCAATGAAAATGATTCCAAATGAAGACACAACTTGTTTTGTTCCTGAATGTATAATTTCATATTTAAAAAAAAAAGTTATTTATGCAATTGTAATTATGTACATCTAAATACTGCTTTAGATGCAGATTCTGTGCTATTTCTGCAGTGCAAAAATGGGTTTTGTTGATACTGATTTAATTCGATTGGTAACAGCTTATAGTGTCTTACTATTCTAAATGAATTTGATTAAATGTAAGAATTTGCCATAAAACAGGATGTATACTTTAAATAGGGAAAGACAGAATGCTTTTATTTAGGTAAAATGGCCATGGAAATTTTTTTAAGTGTGCATTAAGGTATAATATATGCCAGTGCCACATCTGAGCTTCACATGACAGAGTATTTAGTACTGTGCTGTTTTGAAAAGTATTTTGATTATACGACTGGTGCACCATTAAACTGTGCAGCGCTAACTTGTGCTGATGTGTTTGTAAAGTGATAAAGGTAATAAAATGTCATATCTACTTTTCTCAGAGGCCAACAGCAAAGGAACTCCTGAAGCACAAATTCATCGTTAAATATGCCAAGAAGACATCCTACCTCTCCGAGCTCATTGACCGGCTGAAGCGCTGGAAAGCCGAGGGTCACAGCGACGGAGAATCGAGTTCTGACTCCGACTCGTAAGCATGCAGCGAGCACGCAAATGCATTCGCAAAATCCCTAAATCAGGGGTTCTCAACTCTGGCCCTTGGGAGCCACTGTTTAGCTCCAACTCTAATCAAACACTGTAGCTTTCTAGTGATCCTGAAGACCTCGATGAGCTTGTTCAGGTGTGTTTGATTGGGGTTGCAGCTAAACTCTCCAGAAAGTGGACCTCGAAGGCAAGAGTTGAGAACCTCTGCCCTAAACAGATTTAAAACAACAGTCCACAAGAGGGCGCAATTAATTAATCTAAGCCAAACAGCACCATGTTTTGTTGTTTATTGTAAAAAAAAATAAAAATCTGGCTGTTAACAAAAATGCAGTTTGTTTTCAATTAGAGTGCATGAAGTTATAAAATCAAAAGATTCAGCCTTTATTCTCAAGATCTAGTTCTAGTCATTTTAAACAGTTTTTTTTAATTCAGAGGATGTCTTTCAGTGGAAATACAATTTTCATGACACTATTTGTCAGTTTTGCTCTCATTAAAATGCCATCCACTATTAGTTTTGACAAGAAAGTGAAAAATTAAATCATATATTCAAACATTTTATATTTTAAATGTCAACATTTCATAAAATGTGAAAACTCCATTTTGTGCGGGTATGTCATATTGTTTATATTTATATTGTACAAGCATGTTCTGCTCATGCAGCTCAATACTTCGTACCTTCACGGTTTTGTTCAATAATATTTCTTTTTGTAAATTTTGGGGGTATATTATGATACTATGCAATATGTATAACATTTTTATTAGCTATTTTTTTCTGTTTTTTTTTTTTTTTTTTGTATCCTTTAACATTAAAATAATGCTCATGATTTTTGTGCATTCACATAGCTAATATGACAAAAGTCACCAAGTGTCATCTCATTCCAATGAAGCGAAAAAATAAAAAAAAGTTTGGTCAAAAGTGACTGAAGAGGCCCATAGGGTTTTTCTCTTTCTTTCTCATGTGACAAACGACACATACACAGCGAGTTGAACATCTCAGTGGATTCTTCTTGTGTGCCCAACAGAGAGCCCAGCAGCAAGGACAGCGACTCGTCTCCTGAGTGGTCCTTCACCACCGTCCGGAAGAAGAAGCCGGAAAAGAAGCAGCCCAATGGAATGGTGAGTTCTGCATGATGATTTGGATATTCAGTGTTGAAATTTAGTAACTGATTATTGAGAACATGTTGTGTTTTTGATCTCTTCCCTTCAGGACGAAGAACTGCAGAAGAAGTCAGGCAGTTTAACCACCGTCATGGCTCCTGTTTTTTCAGAGGTAGGGCAGCTTGTCTTCTCATATGTGACCCTGCAGCACAAAACCAGTCTTAAGTCGCTGGGGTATATTTGTAGCAATAGCCAACAATAGGGCTGGACGATATGGCCAAAATTGATATCATGATATATTTCTTAATTTCGGTCGGTACGATATAATTACGATATCAATATGAACACTATTTATCTGAAATAGAAATCTTTTGTAACATTATAAATGCCTTTATCATCACTTTTGATCAATTTTAATCAGATCAAATGAAAATGCCATCGAAACTTTTCTGAAGACAGTCGGTTCCCTTCAGAGATACATTCATATAAAACACCCGCACCGTGTTATGATTTTGAAACGTGCAGTGCTCATGTTTTTTCAACGAAGTCAAACGGCACAAATAAATCAATGCATGGGAAACTGGTAATGTATATTGAAATATCGGAAATGTGTTTAAAAATCATATCACCGTTATTGAAAAAAATTATATCGCGATACATATTGATATTGAATTATTGTCCAGCCCTAGCCAACAATACATTGCCAAAAATCATTAGCATATTAAGTAAAGATCTTGTTCCATTAAGATATTTTGTAAATTTCCTACCAGAAATATTTCAAAACTTAATTTTTGATTATATTTTGATTTTCTTTTTTTTTTGCACCCTCAGATTCCAGATTTTCAAATAGTTGTATCTCAGCCAAATAGTGTCCTATTATTTATTCAGCATTATTCAGATGATGTATAAATCTCAAATTCAAAAAACTGACCCTTATGACTGGTTTTGTGGTCCAGGGTCACATATGGTCCTGTTTGGGGAATAGAGCTAAACCGAAATTAAAATGCCATTCAGAATCATCATGTGACCTGAAATCAGTCTAGCTATGTAGTTGCGAAAACAAAAGTGGGATTGTTGACTGTATAACAGAACATGAGTTGATGTGGCCTTTGTGTTGTAGCTAAAATCGCAGCACAGTGACGATGACACGACGAGAGTTCTGGAGCAGCTGGAGAAGAGCCTGCATGTGGCTGAAGACATCTGTCCGGGTGTCACAGACCGGATGATCAGCCACATCCTGGAGAGGGTGCAGAGGTCAGACACACTACTGACATGTTTCTGACAGCGGGCAACTGTTTACAGCCTAGTGTTTGTGTACTATTTTGTAGCAGTAAACATTAGAAGTAGCGGTTGACTGATATATCAAGACCGTTATTACTGACCAATATTTGGGATTTTTTTTATTGTTCTGCAAGACCCCCCTTCATGTTTAGTATATCTTATTGCACTATTTTGCTTTTAATGCATGTAGATTGATATTTTATTTACTAAGATCTCTTAAAGGAATAGTTCACCAAAATATGAAGAATTGCTGCAAATGTTTCTTCATGAGATTTGGAGAAATGTAGCATTGCAGTGTCACCAGTGGATCCTATCAGCAGTGAATGGGTGCCGTCAGAATGAGAGTCCAAACAGCTGATAAAAACATCACAGTAATCCAGACCAGAAGAGAAAAGCTGCGTTTTTGTAAGAAACACATCCATCAGTTTCAAGTTTGAACTTGAAACCATTGCTTCCAGCTTAATATGAGTCATTGATCCATAATGATGCTTCCTCCAGTGAAAAAAGTAATTTAGGTCTGAATCAGGAGTGAAATCTGCACAGATCAAGCACCATTTACAAGCCAAAACAGCTCTAAACAAATACGTGGCTGGGTTTTGATGTGAGAGACAACAGGAGATGGACTTTTTCACTGGAGGAAGCGTTATCCAAACTGGACTCATATTTTGGCCAGAAGTGATGGTTTGAAGTTTATACACCTTAATGATGGATTTGTTTCTTACAAACACAGCTTTTGGCTTCTTATATTAGTCTTCTGATGGTGCCCAAGGATGTGTGTTACTGTTATTTTATTCCACATTTTACTTTAAAAGACACAAAATATCCTTACCAGTCGAGTAGATCTGCTCTACAGCGCATTAGGTAAATCTTTTGGATAGCATATATTTATGTATTTGATGTCCCAATCCATTACTTTATTTTAAACTATGATCAATAATATATACGTTTGGGAGATAAACAGTTTCTTTTCGTTCGTCTTGGTTTGGGATTTCTTTGTTTCTCTCGACACACTGTTAACTGTAGCATTACAGAACTGCTGTATGGGATTACATGCATATCATATCAGTCAAAATGAATAGAAATACCTCATTTAAGCAATCAAAAAAAGAAAAACAGCTGGTTAATGAAGATCGATACAATTTAAACTGCTAGGAAAATAAGAGGAAATTTGCTGTGCAAAAGCTACCTCCACTTCTGGCCCATTACAATAGAGAATTTCAGTTTTATTCTTTTCACTTTTGTAGTTTGACTTTTTTTTTAATTGGCAAGATAATTCGTCTTAAATTTCTAGACCTTTTTGTACACAGGACTGTAGCGAAATACTTTGCCCTTCATTTCTCAGTAACGCCCTCTTTTTACAGTGTCTTGCTTTTTTTTTTTTGAGCTAATATTTTTATACAAGGGTAGAATTATACTGTATTTTTGAAGGAAATATGCACTTGCGCACACTTTGTATGGGGTGGTCCTGTTTTGTGTTTTAATTTCAGAGCTCTCTTGCTCCAAAGACATTCCACTTACTCCGAGTAGCCTGCTTCTGTAAGCGATGGGGGGATTTCTACACAAACATGCATTTAAGCTCCCGAAATGACGGCAAGTGATTTGAGTCCACGCTAGGCAGCAGTATAGAATTCAAGCTTTCTTTCA